AAGCTAATGGCATTCTTTCTGCTGAGCCTGACAAATTCCAGTCCTAGATCTAAACAAGAATAAATCTTGGCCAAATGTTGACATTTCACCCTCCTTCTGGGGCTACCTCTCCAGGGAGCAGAGAAATTTCTCTTCTTCAGCATCCTGAGCTGTTAACAATTAGTGCTATCAACACTGCAGAATGCACTGTCCTCACAACACAGCAATCTTGCTCCTCCCGAAACATTTTATGTGAAGTGCACAGAACTAAAAGCAATACTACAGCATTCATTCATATTAATGTTTTGTGGGTTTGGTCTACAGTGAGCTCAGATATTTTGCTTGCCATAAGCATGTTTCAGATCAGGTATTTTAAAAGCCGAGTTGAACATTGCTTGTTGTCCAGTTTAAGGTTTTCTGTTCACAATTAATTGTACAGCAAGCTAGACTTAGCCAGAAAAACCTTCATAAAGTAAAATGCATCTTTAAAAATTCCATTTTTAATTTGCCATCATGGTATAAAAACCCTATATGCAGTGCTAATTATAGATATGCTTCTAGGTATATTTGCCATCCCTTCTCATTGCCCTAAAATACAGGGAGATGTTCCTAATGATCAGTTACACATATATGCTCTGTAGTGTGTTCAGCTGTGTGTCTTACCTACTTAGCCAAAATATGCAGGGGAAAAACTACGCGTGTGAACCCTTGAGCATCATACTCAGCTGTAGGACTAAGTATTTTAGCTGACGGCAAAGGGAAAGGCAGTTCTCCAGCAGTCAAGGCCTGCTGATACCATTTGCTGGCTTCTGGGAAAAATAGAGAGTGGGCTGTAGGAAAGCTAGCCTGTCCTGGCTGTCTTTCTCAGAAGTCTCCTGCAGTTTGATGCTTTTCTTCAGGCTTTAGGCTTCTAGTCGCCTTGGATTAAATGAAAATCTTGGCTTTTAATAAAAGTGTCCATGGTTGTAGAAAAAAATTAAAAATGCAAAACCTTAAAATCCATAAACCAACAGTGAAATAATGAAGAATGAACAGGCGTTCTCAGGGAAGGAGAGGTGGGAGACATGACATTGTTCTAAATACTTATTTTCTTTCCCTTTTTTAATACTATTTCTTTCATGGAAGAGAGTTTTATCCCATCTGACGTTCCCAAAGAAGGGATGACGTGGCTGACCGGGATTCTGAGTATATATATATAAAAATAGTGAGAAAGGATCTCTGATATCTCTCATTTTTGGTATAGTTTATGGTGCTGCTGAGTTGGAAATAAAGGTTCAATATAGAATGTTCCTCTACAGAAATTATTTTGTTTTATTATTGTAATTTCATGAAAAACACAGGTGAAGGAGTGAATATGGTGATTCTTAATATTTTATATGTCCACTGAAGGATTTTCTCAAAGCAAAAGAAAGATAATTTTCTATCGAGGACTTTTCTCCCACAAAATAAAAAAAAAATTGTTAATCGCTGGAGGCAACAGAACTTTACAGACAAAAAAGCTTTACTTTGACAGGTGAATTTTCTCACTCCTTTCTCACTCCTCTGTCCCACTGGCGGGGAGGGAGAGAGCCACCAGCTGTGTGGGTGCTTGCCTACTAGCAAGGGCCAATACACCACAGCATCTGACCCAGTTAGGGATGTAAGACAACTGTAAACATAAACCATCGGAGAGAATAGGCAGCCAATATTTGGTGGGTCTAGAAAAATACAAGTACTGAGCTAAAATTCTTATAAAGGATTTGGGAAAGATTGAGATTTGATGGGGGTCTGTGTGTTTCAAGAGGATGAATACATTGGCATTCTGATACTTAGGAAGCACAGACTCTTTAGCATCTATTTAGCATCTACAACACTAAATAAAATAGGGACAAAGACTGATGCTTTGTTCTAAATCCAGCTAGCACAGACTTGCTCATATATATGCTGCCTAAGACTGGCCTCCACTAGGCTTGGAGGAGCCTAAGCGGCTGGGAGAAGCCTGGTGGAGACAATATGCATGTCCTTCCTACCTAATACTTAAGCTCCAAGTGTCCTGAGAGCCCCAGGTGGTACTGCTGTGACCCTAAAACTTAATTATTACTTTGGGGAATATTTCAGCTTAATGTGTCTGAAGTAGTAAGAGGGATGTGTTGCAGCCCATCAAAAGTTGTGTTTTGGTAGCATGAAACTGAAGGGCTGATGAATGACGTACTGTGGAGTATGACAGACAGGTACATGGATGTGTTTGAGATGCAGAGATTGTTGGGACAGTGTTGGAGGGATGTTTAGAGTGGAGGAGACTAAGCCTGGTACAGTCATATCCCTACTGACTTTCTGGGGGTTATGTCTGGCATAAAACATCCTCAGAGCCAGGCCTGGACATTGTCCTGGAGAGAGTTAGTTTGGATTGTCCAAAACAAAGCTAAGAAATAAACGAGCATTGAAGCGATGTAAGTGACCGAGATTCTAGTGTATAGGTTCATTTTACATCCCTCTTTTTTGAGCAATATAAACTGCTTAGATTCTACAGTTACTGTTTGCAGCCAGAACTTTCTAAATTTCAAGAGGAAACAGATACTAGATCTGAATTTTACATAACAATGTGGGACTGAAGATACAGCAGCAGTGGCCACATTAATTATAGCTCATTTTCATAATTAAATTTGGGTTATTAAGACATCGATCTACATGGGTTAAGAAGAATCCAGATGTCGAAGCTGGATTTTTACCAAATAGGGTGCCTGTAGGCACAGCTGTTATCCCACACATCTTTGCAGTCCTCAGACATGACTTTCCTGTCATTTGCGCTGCCTCTAGTCTCTCTGCACCTCATGTATTTACCCTGCAGTCCTACATAAGCGACTAAGCTTGATGCTTACTTTCATTTGCCAGCACCTTGTACAAAAAAACAAAATATATTTGTGAAGAGGAGGGAGAACCTGGGTTAAGAGATCTTCCCAGGGCCTGCCTTTAGCAGGTGGCAGCCCACATGAAGCAGGACAGCAAGCCTTGAGCCTTCTAGCCTGCCTGAACATCTTCTTGGACAACTTAGGGGGTGACTCAGATTGTCAAGTGCCATGCGTTTGATTGCTGGTAAGAGCCCAATCACTATCCAGGACAACATGTCTGTGTTCTCCGCAGAGACCAGAAGTAAAGAATAAGCCCACACAACTGCTCCAGGGCTGTGAGGCCCTTTGCTCTTTCAGCAAGTCCTGAAGACATCTGACAGAGGAGATGCTCTCTCCCACACCAGCTTGGAACACTCTGAAGCAAGAAACTGCCAGTGTTGGCAACATCAAGAGTTGCCTTGCAGCTATGACCCAGCAGTGTCTTACAAACTAGACATATTCCTTTGCCCAAAGCTTATGTCTTTAAACAACATGGGTCAAAGAGGATGTTAGCCTACTCTGGCGTCCTGGGCAGTTTCCAAGACAGGGGCTGTATGAGCAAGCACTCCTGATTAATGGCCCAGGCAGCTAAAAGGCAACTGGCATCCATCCCCTCAACTGAGACAGCTCCTTAAAAAATGTCCCAGAGACCAATTCTTCCCCTAAGAAACCAAAAAGAGAGACTGCACTGCCAACCTGGGATGGCTTCTGCATGTGTCTCAATGAATGCCACATCGTTGTCTTAAGAGAGATTGGGATTAGAGAGATCAGAGCTTGGTAGAAGGTAGGCAGAGGGCCTCTGGTTGACTTCTGCTTTCTTTCTCCAAGAAGTGACCATACTGGACTCTCCCACAGTGTTCCTGTGTGCTCATATACCAGGCTAGACCCATCATGGCCCAGAAGCAAGACCGTTCTGGGAGGGGTGCAAGGGACTTTGCACCAGCTTGTCCCTTTGTAACGTACTGCCATTGCACTCCAGAGTCTGTACAGAATGATTCATGTACAAATGCAGATCATCTCTGCTGCAGAGCATGTTAGGAGGGATGGTGGGAGGGAGAAAACATTGATGTTGCCTTCGTTGGGCAGCCCTAGGAGATACGTGTGGCTGGATGTGGCAGCTCTGGGAGGTGTGCTACTGGTGACGGGGTCCCAGGGAGCATCGTGAACACCAGAGAGAGCCTGTAGCTCTCCATGTGGCATTTTCTCTTGCTACTTTCCCAGCATGTGTGGGGTGTGCTGTAAGACCTAGACAGTCTGGGCAGTCAGGAAACCTGGCCAGAGAAGTATCCCTTCAGCAATGTGGTTTTAGTATAGCTTGAGCAGCTGAGGACAAAAAATGGCAGGATCTGCAATGTGTGGAGCTGAATTTCCCTAGCTCTGCTGCATAAAGCTTGAGTAGCCTTACTGGTTCTTTTTTTCTTGGGTTAGGAGCTGCCAAACATCTTTATTTTACTAGGAATATTAAGAAGGTTGCTGGTTTTCCCCAGCCCTGCAGATGCCGTAGATACAGTACCACTGGTCAGATGTGTTCACTGAAGGGATCTGCATTTTTGGTTAAGAGGATCATGTGTTTGTCCTCTATTCATCAGGTAGAATTAGGAAGGCTGAAGTAAAAAAGTTTTCTGATTGAGCAGGATTGAAAGGCAGAATTGGAGTTGTGCAGGACCACTCCCTTAGGATTTATCTGAGGGTTAGTGTTTAGTTTCACTTTCATCTTTCTCTTTACACTCCTGCAAAATAGAAACCAGCAACACCCCTAGAGCTATTCCCCTCTGTCACTGGCAAATTTGAAGTGCTGGGGTAAAAAATTGTCAGAAATACGGCTTTCAGCCAGACCTCACCGCGCTTACGCTGAGGCTGTCTATTCCATGACTGCACAAACTGTTGTTGACTGTTCTATTGGTATAGATCAGCTTTGCTGTCACCCCATGACTCCATTCTGCCCAGGTGCTGTGGCTGAGATGGTCAAACTGAGCTTCAGCTGGATGACTCAGAAACCAGTGTATGTGTTTGCATGGCTTACAGCTGAGAGTCCAGGCAGGGGCGGGTCTTACAAGGAATTGAAACCAACTTGTGAGAACTCAAATGTTTTGAGTCTTTCCCCAGCTTTAGATGCAATACTCTTTTCTGAGAAGGCAAGGTACTCCCGAAGCGATGTCTGGGGTTAGAGGATGGAGGGAGGGCAGCAGGTACAGGGCGGCTGCTGCCCCCAGTACCCCGTTTTCCTCTCAGGGTTACCTCTGGGATGGCAACAATAAAACAGAGGAGGCTGAAAACCCTCAGAAGCTGACAACATCTGAAGAGGAGCAAAGCGGCCAAGCATCAGTCTACCAACAGCAGCAAGAGCAGTAGTAAGTAGCAAGAAGCCTGGCTGAGATGGTATTGCGTGTAGCGGGTGCCTGTTCTCCAGCTTGCTCGAGGTGTGCACCTTAGGAGGCAGAAATACTTCATAGAGCGCCTGTGAATGGGACTGGGCACAGAAGCAGCTTGTCCTCGTCGTCTCAGAGCTACCTGCGGTCAGCCTGAAGCCTACACGGCTTACACCTTATGCCACAGCAGCGGCCAGTTCTGCATGTTTGATATTGCTGTATGTAGTGTCATTTTTTTGGCATCTTTTTGAAAGTGAAATTTCAAATCTCGTTCTAGCTCCCTGTTTTCTGTCTCCTAATATTTCATCTTGCAAAGTCTAAACATACTTTCTTTGCTTAAGAGATAGGTATAGGCTGCATTCCAGCACTGAGCTGAATGCAGTCCAGGACACAGAACAGCTTCTAACAACTTCGTGCTGACAAAAGTAAAGCTAAAGTTTCAGCCCTCAATTTCATTTTAGGCTTTATTGGGATCTATGCTCAGTTCATCTCTGATTTTCCAGTGACAATTCTTAGATAACTTGTATAAGCTCTAGCTTGCAGGTATAATACAGAATAGAAATGGACAATAGTGTGTGTGTATTTTATGCACATGTGCTTAACACATATATGCTTAGCTGACCAAAAGTAATTATTTACAGTCTTTTTCCCCAAATGTGCTTTTTCTGAGCTGTTAGTAACAGTGCACGTAATGCTATTATTATTATGTGCTGACTTTGCTTAGCTTGCCTGTTTTTTTCCCCGCCTTTCAAAGTGCAGCTGACAGCAACTGAAGGCTGTTTCAGTTTCCTTTCCCTTCTTTCTGGGTGAAGAAGGTGGAGCCACACTGTGAAAGAGGTGGCAGGCTGCTGATGGCAAGCAGCAATCAGCAGCTTTCTATTGCAACCCATGAATGCTTGCCTAGTAGGTAGTAATGATATAGAGACTATTAAGAACTGGGTAGCTTTGAAATCCGTCAGCACTTTAATGACTGACTTTCAGGAGAGCAAACGACCATTCCTGAGTTACAGTCTATGTTTATTTTCTGCCACTTCGAAACATGAAAGACCCTCTGTCTTCCCTGCCCTCTCACTGGCATATATCCACAGTACAGTGAGAGCAGCCCTAGTTAGCTTACATATTTGTGCGATGTGCATTTTTTTTGCT